GCCGTATAAGGAACGAATGGTATGCTAAAAAATCAATTCGATGAGCTCCCATATTCACCCCCTCAGAGAAATTACTATGAAGCCCAGCAAATAGATGCCACTAGCCCTAAAAAACACGGCCATAATTTGACCCACTGGGACTTCTGTAAACACATTAGAAAAGTATCAATAGTTCTTAGCTCAAGGCTAGAATAACAGGAACTAGAGGTGGCCTCTGTGACTTAGTTTTTCCACCGTGGTTGGAGGCCCCGCCTGGTTTCCCCACTGCCAGTGGCAACAGCCTCCTCTCCTGTGCCCTCCACACCTCAGACCCTGTACTGCTGTTTGATGTCCGCTCACTCCCTGCCAGCCCTTGTTGTTTCTTTCAGCATTCTGCTGTCTCACACCCTGTCTGGATTCGCTTCTTCATTATAATACTTCCTTTTCTCCATCAAAGCCTTTGGTCCTCATTACACAGACTGATGATGCTTAATCAGTTGGAAAACACCCTGGTAAGCCCTGCTCTGCTCTCCACTGACTACCTGGGGTTATAGGTGCCCTCCCCTGAGCCTAACCCAGGTTTCTGAGAGAAATTTTCTTTCCAACCCTGGAAGTCTTGACAAGCAGCCCCTCACCCCGCCACACTCCGGTTCATTCATTCCTATAAGAAAACCAAACTCTGCAGAACATCAATTAAAGCCTGTGCTCTGTGCTCTGGCTCCTTCCCAAGTTAAACACTTCTGTAAATCCCACACCGCTGCTGTCTGGACTGAACACGGACCAGGGCACCCAGAGTTTCTGGAGTTTTCCTTCTGTTTACCCACTGTCAAGTGGGTATTTCCCAGGCAGCCTCTCCTCCTCCCACAGAGACTGGCTGCAACCACTCTACCCCCAACCCAGGCAACCAAATGTGACATCAAAGGAGCTCCGGAATGGCCATCTGTTCCTGTCATGCCAATGTTTATGCAATGTGGGCAGGAGAGGGACAAGCCAGGGGAAAGGTGTCCTAAGCATCCGACTCAAAGCCCAACACTCTAAACTGTATATACCACGGACGGAGACCACTCAAGACTAAGATGTTCTCCTATGTACATCACAGGCTCATACCACTCAAAACTAAGATGGTCTCCTACTCCTTAAAAAGACTAGAAAGTACAACTTTTAGAAGGGAATTCAAAGAGCCAGCTCAAGACACCCCCCTGTGAACAAATACCTAAAACTAAAGCGAGATTCCTGATTCTGCAGTTTTAAAAACATTATCTAGCCACTCCCCGAGCCATACCTAGATAGAGTGCTTCAAGCAACACTGACTTTAACCAATACACAAAACACTGCAGACCTTGTCAGCATAGAAATGAACACATACATAGGCTCTGCATTCTACAGTCAATATGACATCGTCATCAAAGGCCCTGTTTCTCTCTAGAGTCAGTGTGACCAGAAGACATCATCCTCAAAGGCCCTGTTTCTCCCCCAAGATTAACAGACAGCATCCATGGGGACAGAAGTCAGGTAAAGTGCAAGGATGGGTTCAGTCTGAGTCCCATTTCTGGATTCAAAGAGGAGACTCACACACCACAGGAAGGAGGTTTGGTCCTGCAGCCAGCCCCCTGTGCCCACCTCTCTACATCCACGTATCTAACCAACTGCAGAATGAAAGAGCTTTAGAAAAAAATGTGCATCTGTACAACACAAGTACAGATAAATTTCTGTCATTATTCTCTTAAGTAACAATGTATAACAACTAATTTCACAGCATTTACATGGTATCAGACATTACACGTACTGGGAGATGAGTTACAGTAAAACAAGATGAGGCTTTCTTTCTTTAGTTTGGTTAGGTGTTTTGGTTCTTTCTTTTAAATTTGATTGGGGGGGAGGCTACAAGGGTAGAGGGCAAATGTGAGGAGACGGAGAGATAAGTGGGATTAATAGTAAAAAAAAATAAAGTGGTGTACTCAAATGATTGTTCAAAAAAACAGGATGATGCACACAGTGCCATGGGGGCTTGGACATCTGTGTGTTTTGAGACCGAAAGAGAAGATCTTGGAACTCCCTACCCTGACTGAGAGCACTTAGCAGAATGCCAGAGATGCAGTAGGCGTTCAGTGTGTGTAGTGTGTGTGTGTGTGTGTGTGTGTGTGTGTGTGTGTGTGTGTGTGTGCATGTATTTATTTAGAGACAGGGTCTCACTAAGTAGCCCAGGCTGGAACTGCAATATAGACCAGGCTGGCTTTGAACTCACAGAGATCAGATAGTTTTTGCTGGGATTGGATGTATATGTCACCAAGCCCAGCATGCCATCCCTATCCTGTTGCTTTCTGACTTCCAGGTTAGCCATCTTCCCACCATGTTACAATGAGGGTCACCCAAGAAGCAGAGCATGTCTAGTGTTTTGCTGAGAAATTGCTATGGAATATGGCTGGCCACCAGATAAAACTTAGCACACTGACATCTTTGGTGTCTTTCAAGAGTGGGGATGGAGCCAGAAGCTTGGTAAGTCTATCTTCCCATTTCCCTGGAACACGCGTAGTCATAGGCCTGAGCACTGGGAGCAAATGGACATTATTCATCACAGAAACCTGCTTTGGCTCCCTGGGGTGGGTGGCTGGGCCCTGCACTCAAAGCCAAGGGATGATGCATCCATCGCATAACTCAGCTGGAGCAGCTGCAGTGTGAAAACACACGGGCTCAGACAAGCACAGGCTCCCTTCAGGCCTGCCCCTTGCTTCCTTTTAAGCTGGCTCTTTCTCCTCTTTAAGCTGGCTCTTTCTCCTCATTGGAAGACCTTAGAAACAAATCTGACATTTCTCTGGATGTCTTTGAACAGATTTTAGGTGACCCTAAAGAGTTCCTAGATAGGTGCTACATGGACAGAGCCCTCAAGATTTGTAACACCCTTTCAGGAAGGAGGGTATTCAAGAGGAGTGGACAAGTCATGCTGGGATCTTGGAGTAGAAAGGTCAGAGGGTCCAGAGTAGGAAGGCAGTGGCAGGAGGGTGGATCCAGCTTGAGGAGGTGACATAATGACTGAGCACAGACATGGGAGAAGACAGCTCTAAGGGGAAGAGTGGCAAGGACAGCATGCCCTAAGACAGAGCTAGGAAGACTGATCGGAGAGCAGCCTCTCCTGAAGCACCCCAGTACCCCATGCAGCCACTGTAGTCCACACAATGAACAGCTGAGGGGAAGGACAAGCAGCCCCATGGTAGTAGGTCTCCTCAGTTAGAAGCACAGACTACAGAGCTAGGGGACCAGGGTTTATGGGAAGGTTCTGTCGTTTCCCAATGTCGTTTCTCTAGATGACTGACTTGGGCCAGAGACAAGACATATGCTTGGCATGCTAGGTCCTGGAGGGAAGGAAGCCACAGGAAGTCCATGGGGAAGGGACAAGGTGAAACCTTAGTACTGGCTTGTGACAGGAATGCCTTCCTAGTAGATAGCTCCTACAAAGATGACATGGAGGTTTGGGGATTCAGGGGTACTTGATCAAAGGAGAGACAAGCCCTCACAGGAGAGCCCTCCCACAGAAAGAGACTAGGGCACTAACTAGCACTTGGTGGGCGAAATTTAGAAGGAAGTAAAATGGGTCCCAAGGGTTAGTAAGGGACAGACAGAGTGCACTACTGCACAGGGACCGTCGTTGCTGACGTCACCTCTACCTTTCAAGAAGAGTTCATAAGCTAATTAGGATCACACCGTGTGACATGAACACCCAAGAAGCTTTCTCTAGCCACAGCGGGGCTCATCAGAGGGGAGTGGCCAGGGCTGGCTCTGGGTTCTGGCAGGGAGGAGCAGCAGGCAAGACTGGAAGAGCAGGTTACTGCAGGACCCACTAGCAGGACCTGGAATGCAGGTGGGAAACCTTAGAAGCTGCAGGGTCGGTCAGGCCTCAGGAAGCAGCTGCCATTCTGGCTCCTATTTTGTTCAAAGTCAGCTGCCCCCAGCATCTTACCAAAACCTGCTTAACATTAAAAAAATGAATACACAATGTGCCATCACCAAGGGTAAGTTTGTGAGCAGCAGGCAAACTTGAGAAGAATAATACTAACTTCATATTGTTCAAAAGCTCCATTTAAAAAAAAATATCTTCTGTGTATGAACGTTTTGCCTACACGTATGTAAATGCACTACATGTATGCCAGGCTTCTGTGGAGGCCAGAAGAGGGCACTGAATACCTTGGAAGTAGAATTGTGTACAGCTGTGAGCCACCACATGGGTGCTGGGAATTGAACCCGGGTCCTCCGGAAGAGCAGCCCATGCTCTTAGCCACTGAGCTATGGTTTCATTCCTTGAAAAGTGCCTTTTGGTGTTAATCATTCTCTCCCAATGAAATCAATGGGAACTACAGAGACCACTGTCCCTATTCACAGAGCAGAAATGGAAAAGTGTACAGCCCTTTCTGCTGGACCTCCAAGGAGAAAAGAGAGATGTGTTTTCAAAGCCTTTCTCCTCTAAGTGACTCACAACACACGGTTAGCCCTAGCTCCCTTCTGATGAAGCTCCAGGCTCGTCATACAATGAAAGTGTCCAGTCTGATCACATCGATGACAATCCCGTGAAATGCTCTCCCACCGCACATTTTGCAGGGAGAAGACTGAGCCTCTCTCCTTTAACATGATTCTACATACAACACACACATGCTGGGACACCAAGTGTGCCCTCCCACACACACACACACATCTGTCCTTTCTTCCCCTTTCCTAGTACCAGACAAGAGGCAAAGGGGAAGCCAGGAACACAGAGGTGGGGGGTCAACCTCTGGAGTCTCCAAAACAAGGTAACAGTGGCAGGAACCCACCAAGCCTGCGCCCCTGAGAAGCTGAAGCCACCACAGGTTTCAAAGCTGCCGGTTCTGAATGGGGAGAACAGTAGCCTCTTGTCCACCAAGACCAGTCACCAATACCATACTTTCCATTGTCCCAAAACAGTGGTCCATGTGGCACTCTGTGACAATAAAGACTTGAAGGTCTTAGAGGTCAAATGCTTAAACCCAGCCTCAGGGGAACACCACACTTACCCCAGGCCAAAGAGAAGAGCCTTGGTCAGGGTCTCCAAGGGTGCCATCTGAAGGGGCTGCTCACTTCCTGAGAGAGGGACTGCAATTCCTTTCTCTGTCTTGCCTTTGTGTCTGCAAAGGTGGGTTTCAGTCGACAATGGTTCTACCTGTCAAAGCAGATAAAGAATGGGTTTAGGCCCATTTTGCATATATTTCAAGAACACCCATGGGGTGTTGTGTAACAGTTTACTCCAAAATTAAAACATTCCACCCAGCAGGGAAGTTCCTTGAACAAGAAAGTAAAATACTCAAAACAATTTCAGGAAATCGCTGAAACTGACCAGATTTACTAGGCTCCTCCCTGCCAGGATAATCAGTAAAAGCTGCAAAGAAGTCTGTGTGAGACCAGCCCAGTTTCCTGGAAGAGGTTTAGACCAGGCTGTGCAGTGTGCTCCAGGTTCCCAGCTGGGGTGGGCTTTGGTGATGCAGCTGTCTTTTGAGTCATTTCTGCTCCTGTAAGTGACCCCTCACCGATATTCCTGGAAGTCCAATAAAACTCATTGGTTCACCAAACTGGACTTTGGTGGTATCTGTATTTGGTCTGTCATGGGATTCCTATACAATGTAGGTATACATATGTTAAGTCTCTCCGGGAAAAGCTTTGTCACACAGCAAGGGGATACAGGAAAAGCACCTCACAGGTCACAGACAGTACTGTGTGGCAGTGACTGTTATCTACACATCCAGATCTCATCCATAGTGAAGACACCAGGTGGCTGAATGAAACTCTATGATTAGGACAAAGTCTCATCAATCCTCACGAGTGCATTATGCAAGCAACACTTTCCAAAAGTGGTGACATCTGCCCCCCAACTTGCACCAGCTGAGTGTCATGGTAACACTGGTCCCAGTACTCAAAGAGGAGCAAACCACTTGTGTGAACTCCACTTCTACTCTCCCCCCTCTAACATCTCCTGGACTCAAACAGCTCCCCAGCCTAGCAGGACAGACAGGCTGGACAGAGAGCAGCTGACTGTCTGTCTGTCTTCCTTGAACTCAACACCTGAAGATTCTTAGTTACAATATATAAAGCAGGGCTCACTCCTTGGGCACAGTAGAGAGTGACTCCCATTGTACCCGAGCACCAATGAACGCTACTCCAGCTCACCATCTCTCTGGCCCCCAGATCAGCCCTGGTAATTCCAGATGCATGAATATGAACAAATCATACCACATATTCCTCAGGACCGTTTTAGTGACCAATTCCTCAGAAGGTTCAATGGCTTAGGGTTGGTGGGGCCTCAAAACTCAGGATTCCTTTCTAAAATCCAGGCCACCACCTCAGCCCTGAACTTTCATGTTCCCACCTTAGCTGTAGCATAGACACGCTTTCCTGGACTTGGCTGAGAGCAGGGCTTTAAGATCACATCACTTCTGTAACAGGACGTTACAGAAATGACAAGAAGGAGGGGAGGAAAAAGAAAAAGATGAGATGGACTAAAAAATATTCATCATCCCAGGAAGTTATAATAAAAATTGGAGAGAAGAAACACACAATCCATTTGCCGTCAATGAACTAGAAAACTAAGATTAAAACACGGGAAATTTGAGAACGTGTCCCCGGCGATCTCGCTCACTTCTAATGAAAAGGGTGCAGACAGGAAGGACATCTTTGTGTTACTCCATTTTCAATTCTATTCCATCCTCTTTCACTGTTCCACTAGGCAGCAGAGAGAGAAATGCTGAGCTTCCAAGTATGACAAGAAAGGACAGGAAACAGGAGACACTCAATGACACTCACAAAGAGCCTACTGTGTGCCAAATCACATGAAAGGCGTGGTACTTGGATACAAAAGCAAGTAGTTTGCATATTTATCTCATCACTGAAGATATGGAAATTCGAAAGTCATTATCTTGAGACCTGGCAGCTAACTGGCAGAGCCAGAAGAGTCCAAGCCCTTAGACTGCCACACACTCAGAAAGGTTGCACTAAACTTTAAAACACTCAGGCTCATGCATTAAATATGAACAGAAATGAAATGTTCCTCCCCAACCATTACCACAATTTGTCTACTCTTGCACAAGGTAAATGTGTACTGCCGAGAGGGCTGAATGCTCCCACACTTCACATTAAATTACCTCAAAGCCTCATGCATACTCTGGCTTGATGCTTCTAAAACAATCTCACAGGGTGTGCCCCTGCGAATCCACAGTACCCACCTTAGAACAATTTGGCCCAGTATGTATGACGCTCACAAACAGAAGGCACTTTAATAAACACAATCAACGTCAAAGACACAAAGACAAGTACATGATGTCTTCCTCCTTACAGCTGGGGACTCAGTTGCTTATTTCAAAGGATGTCATCAAACCTTTTGTGACAGCATCCCATAAGGCAGAATTTTTTAGATGTACAGTTGAATGTTTTTAATTCAGGGAGGAGGCAGGCTTTGTATGTCAACTACAAACAACCCAAGTTGGTTCTTCCAACAGCAATAAAATTGACAACATGTTAGTAAGAATGATAAGAAAAAATACATAGCTGGGAAAGCTTGTCTTGGTGGTGTAGCACTTTTCTAGCATGTCATGTATTCAGACTCAGTAAAACACACACACACACACACACACACACACACACACACACACTAATCAATGCCACGAATGAAAAAGGAAACATGTTTACATATGCCTCAGTCTTTAAAAACTGAATCTAGCTAATATAACTGTACACCGATACACTTCAAACCCTAGAAGAATTGAGAAACTTCCAACCAAAATTAGCTCCTAAGACAAATAATTTCAGTGGTCCTGTATCTGTGACAAACTGAACTCAAAACTTTAAAGGTGTATAAAACAGAGAGTCAAGCCAGGAGGAGGAGTCAACACAAGAACAGGAGCTATTTGGAAACTTAGTGGTCCTGTGGCAGTCAACTCCAGCTTCGGACATTTGCATAACAGTCCCCAGGAACAACACCCAAAAGCCTTTTATCTGTGATTCACTGCTTCCCCTTTCTCTAAGGGTTACTGCTCCATAAACTCCCATCTATTACTCAGTGTTGCCCTGGCCATCACAAGATCCAGTTCAGCTACCTCCTGAAGAGTAACAACTGGGAGTAGGCGTGACAACACCAAGCTCATAGCCACCAACCTAATGGGATGTTTGTGGAGCCACTACCAGGTGTGACAACCAGAGCCATACCACCTGATCTCCCTTGGGACAGGTCTAGTTTGAAGGTCGCCAGCTAGCTAACTGTGCCCCCAGACTGTGCCCGACCTGCAATACTTAAGTGGAAGACTGTTGAGAGGGACAAGCCATCCCACCCAAAGCTAGGAAAACCACAAGACCAGCTGAGCACACCTCCTATTCCACTCCCTTCAAACCAGGAAAGAGCTTTGTTGCAAAATGGATAAGTTAGCTGCAAATCCAAGAGACAGCCATCTCACCGCCTTTCCATCCTAAAAGTAACTTCATGAAGGATTAGCGTTAGCCCGAGTAAGCATTCAAAACTCGGGCTCCAAGTGCATCACCAAGCCACTGATCAGACACTAAATAAGCAAAACAGGTCTGCCAGCCTCAAAACTTCCTTCTGACCACACACCCTGGAAAGCCTGCTGAAAACAAAACCAGGACACCGGGGAGCGAGCTGATGCTTTGCTAAGATACTTACTGTCACTTACAAAGACCCCCAACCCGGTTGCCACCCTCCAGCCAAACTTCCTCTCTTCGCTCCACCCAAAATTCGCTTAGGCAATGGATCAGACGATCAACCAGCTGCGGCATAAAAACTCACATTAAAAAGAAGTTCCAGATAAACAGAGTTAGTTCCCTCGTCGTGGCAACGGGGCTTTTGGCTCACCTAACCTAAATGCAAAACCAGTGGCAAAACTAGTCGTTCTAGAATTCCCATTCAGGTGCTGGTCCGGAGCCACAGCTTCAGAATATCCGAAAACCAGTCCAGCTTAGAATCCCAAACCTCTCGGAGTGATTCCCTCCATCCCCCACCCCCCACCCATACATAGCCTAGTAATTGCCCGAGGCGCGCGCAGCAGGGCTGGGTCCCAGGCAGGAAGGCTCTTTGGTGGGTGTCGAGATCGTCCCACTGTCTCCGTCCTGTTTCCCATACATTGGTCCTCGCTAAATCAAGAGAGAAGTTTCTGAGCCAGAACCCCTTTTCCCGGGGTTCAGACCTGCACAGCAGCCTGCTTCTCACAGCTCAGCGGAGCAGCACAGCGCCCTGGGGCTCAACACACACTAAGCAGGGCCAGCGCTCGGGCCATCGAGGCTCCCAGCCTCAGGCCACAGTTAAGGGTTCCGGGGATTCTTGCCCATCCTCACCACAGCCCCACGCAGCAGCTTCCAGAGACAGCGTTGCCCAGGAGATTCACGGGTGGAAAATGGATCGAATTTTCTGAAGCTCAACAGCGGCTCAGCGAGGCGCACGCTCCCGGCTGCCTCTCCATCTCTCAAACTTCCAGTAACTGAAATCAGGAAGCTGGAGCCTTCCCGGCTGCCGGCAAGGGAGTGGGTGTAACTTGTGAAGTTTCGTACTATGATGAATCTGGTCATTTGGGTGTGTTGGAGAGGGCCTAGGACTTCTCCCTCCTCCTCCCGCGGATGCCTAGCTGAGGACTGTGGCTGGCTGTCATTCAGTCCAGCACTCTGTTAGCCCACATCCTGGGAGAAATTTATTCCGATAGGGTCTTAACTGTTTTACAAATGAAACTGGGCACTCTGCACAAGATGTGAGCTCCCCAAACATTTGTTTAAATAAACACAAAAAACAGAAAGGGGGGGGAAGCCTTTAGCCAGCTATCTTTAAAATCAATGAATGGCAACTGCTAACAAAATCAATGAATGGCAACTGCTAACAATAGTGCAAACTATTCAGAAAATTCTCCAGAAGGTCTCTCTCACTTGCCCTCTAAACAGAAAACAGCCGTATGTTTGATTCCCATGAATCATATTGATAGCAGTTTCTAAAAACTCTGGCAGAAACAACTACCATAGGTCCCCCACACACACACAAGCACCCCAAAAAGTAATCTTCTGGCTCCACCTTGGTTCCCGGACATTAGTTTCATTAAGTAAAACTTCTTATGGCCAGTGGTTTCAAAAAAGAAGCCTCAGGTGGCTGGTTAGAAAGAAGGAAGCAATCACAAGCTAGCA